TCATTCCCCTCCACCCTGCACACCCCTCCCCCACCATTCCCCCCTTTTGTTTATGTCCATATGTGTTTAGCTTCTACATTTCCCACATTATTCTTGGCCTCCCCCTGTCTATTTTCTCCCCACCATCTATGCTACTTATTCTCCATACCTTCTCCCCCACTCTCCTCCTCCCACTCCCCTGTTGCTAACCCTCCATGTGATCTCCATTTCTATGACTCTGTTTCTGATCTAGCTGTCCACTTAGTTTGCTTTTGTTTTAGGTGTGGTTGTTAATAACTGTGAGTTTGCTGTCATTTTACTGTTCGTATTTTTTGTCTTCTTTTTCTTAAATAAGTCTCTTGAACATTTCATAAAATAAGGGCATGGTGATGATGAACTCCATTAACTTGGCCTTATCTGAGAAGTATTTTATCTGCCCTTCCAATCTAAATGAAAGCTTTGCTGGATAGAGCAATCTTTGATGTAGGTCTTTGATTTCATGACTTGGAATATTTCTTTCCAGCCCCTTCTTGCCTGTAAGGTCTCTTTTGAGAAATCAGCTGACAGTCTGATGGGTACTCCTTTGTAGTTAACTGTCTCCTTACCTCTTGCTACTCCTAGGATTCTCTCCCTCATTTTTATCTTGGGTAATGTAATTATGATGTGCCTTGGTGTGTTCCTCCTTGGGTCCACCTTCTTTGGCACTCTCTGAGCTTCCTGGACTTCCTGAAAGTCTATTTTTTTTTTTTTTGCCAGATTGGGGAAGTTCTCCTTTATTATTTGTTCAAATAAGTTTTCCACTTGTTGCTCTTCCTCTTCCCCTTCTGGTACCCCTATAATTTAAATGTTAGAATGTTTCAAAATGTCTTGGAAGTTCCTAATACCTCTCCTCATTTTTTAAAATTCTTGTTTCTTCCTTCTTTTCTGTTTGGTTGTTTCTTCCTTTCTTCTGGTCCACTCCATTTATTTGAGTCCCAGTTTTCTTTTCATCCCTATTGGTTCCCTGTACATTTTTCTTCATTTCACTTAGCTTAGCCTTCATTTTTTCATCTGATTTGTGACCAAATTCAGTCAACTTTGTGAGCATTCTAATCACCAGTGCTTTGAACTGTGCGTCTGATAGGTTGGCTATCTCTTAGTCACTTAGTTGTATTTGTCATGGAGCTTTAATCTGTTCTTTCAGTTAGGCCATTTTTTTTTGTCTTGTCATGCCTGTTACGTAGTGGGGGGCAGAGCCTTAGGTGTTCACCAGGGTGGGGCAACCCCATTGCTGGGTTGTGATACTGTATGTGGGGGTGGGGTCAGAAAGGGAACAATGGTGCTTGCTCCACTCTCCTTGGATCTAGGTCCCTTTCACTGCTTCCCTCAAGAAAAATGGGCCTTTTTGGTGCTGATTCCCTTGTGGATGAACTTGTGTACATCCTAGGACCCTGTGGGTCTCTCCAACAAACTCTGCTGTGAGGCTGGAGTCTCTCCCTGCACCTCCACCCCCACAGGTGTTTTCAATCAGTGTTTTGAGGCTTTATTTCCCGGCTCTGGGACCCTGGGTTGCATGGTCTGTCTCAGTGTCACCTGGTTTATCTTCATGCAAATGTGGCACTGCCTGGTCAGCCAGTCACCTTGCACACAGTGCCTCACCTCACAATTGCTGCCTTGCTGGGTCTGCCTGTTGCCACCCCAAGCCAAGGATCTGCCAGCTGCCATCTGCGCGCCCAGGATCTGCCCACCACCATCTTGCACACATGGTGCCACCACTTTTTGTGTCATGATCCCTCTCTGCCTGGATGCCTGACTCCGCCCTTCCTACCAGTCTGGATGAATGTGTCTATATTTTAACTCCTTGGTTGTCCGACTTCCATACAGTTTAATTTTCTGTCAGTTCTGGTTGTTATTTTATTTCTAAATTTTTGTTGTCCTTATTTTGGTTGTGCGAGGAGGCACAGTGAGTCTACCTATACTTCCATCTTGGCCGAAAGTCTCTCCTCCCTTTCTTAATGGTGTCCTTTGATGCATGACTTTTCAATTTTGATAAAGTCTAGTTTATCTACTTTTTCTTTGGTTGCTTGCACTTTGGTTGTCATATATTAAGGACCCATTGCCTAATCCAAGGTCATAAAGATTTATATCTATGGTTTCTTCTAAGAGTTACATTTAGACCTGTGGTCTGTTTTGAGTTTACTTTGTATATGGTGTGAGGTAAGGGCCCAACTTTATTTATTTTTTTTCATGGTGGAAATCCAGTTGTCCTAGCAGCATGTTGAAAAGACTATTTTTTCCATAAAATTATCTGTGAACTCTTGTTACTCTTGTTTCAAATTAGTTCCCATTAAATGCGTGGGTTTCTCTCTGACTCTCAGTTCCATCCCACTAGTGTGAACATTTGTTGTAATGGTATTGCCACACTATAGTTATGCAGTAAGTTTTGAAATACAGAAGTGTTAGTCTTCCAACTTTATTCTTTTTCAAGATTGTTTTGAACAACCTGGATCTCTTGCGTTTTTCTTAACGAATTTTAGGATCATTTTGTCAATTTCTGCAAAAATGGTCCTTGGATACTTTCAAAGATTTTCTTTCTATCCTTGGATTTGAGTAATTTGATTATGATATTCTTTGGTGTACTTTTCTTTATTCATTAAGTACATTAAGTTCATTAAGTTTCTTGGAATTTAGGGCTTACAGTTTTCAGTAAGTTTGGGGTTTTTTTGCCATTATTTCTTCAAACGTTTTTTCCTTTTCCTCTTATTTGGTGACTTCAGTTATAAATATATCAAGCCATGTGAAGCTGTAGTACAGCTCACTGATACTTTTTAAGTTTAAAACTGTTTTTTTCTCTGCATTTCATTTGGCTTTTTCTATTGCATTGTTCTTTTCTTCTTAGTATCTAACCTGCTATTAGTCTAATCTACTGTATTTTTTATCTCCAGAACTTCTACTTGAGTCCTCTCTCCATGTTCTATGTCTCTACTTAATTTTTTGAGCACACAGAATACCATGTGATACCCACATTAATGTCCTTCTCTGCCAGTTGCAACATCACGTCAGATCTGATTGATTATTCTCCACGTGGTTTGTCTTGTTTTCCCACCTCCTTGTGTGTCTGATGGCTTGTGACTGGGGCCCTGGTACTGTGAGTCTCGCTCTGCTGGGAGCTGATGTGGTGCATTCCTGTGGGTGTCCTTGAGCTGGGCTCTGGAAACAGTGACTTCCTTAAAAGCATTTGTCCCTGTCCTGGGGAGAGAATGGTCTAGAGCTTCTTCTAGTCTTTCTGTGGCCCTGTGCCCCTCCTGCACTGTTCCCCAGCCTCTCAGAGGGCTCTTCCCTCCCAGGGGTGCATGCTGATGACTTCTTGAGGGAGGGGCTCTGTGCTGCTTCCTCAAGTCTGGTTTTCTGTACTGTGGACTCTGACTGCCTTCTGTCCCCTCAACTCAAGGTCTACCTGGCTCTGCCTCAGTTTCCTTTCTGAGGCCTGGAAACTGGAGGCAGGAAGCTGGGGCAATCACAGGGTTCACCTTTGTTTGCTCTCTCTAAGGGATCAGTGTCCTTACCTGCTTAATGCTGAGTGACTTGAAAACCATTCTGATGGTTCTGTGCTCAATTCTGGTTTTTCCCATGACAAGTAATTCTCTAACACTAGCTGGTTGACCTACAATTTAACTCTATTCTGACATTACCTACCTGGAGATAGCATCAGCGCCCACAAGTGAAGGGCTCAGTCCCACAAGAGCACCCCCATTTCAGATGCCAATGGTAAGCCCAGGTTGTCCCCTGTGCTTGTGACTGACCAGCCACCTCCTCAGGTTTCAGTAATTTGCTAGAGTGGCTCACAGAACTCAAACATTTACTCACTAGGTTGCTGGCTTATTCTAAAGGATATAGCTCAGGAAGAGTCAGATGGAAGAGGTATGCAGGGCCAAGCATGGAGAAAAAGCCGGGGTCTTCCCTGTTCTCTGAACCTGCCACTCTCCCTTTATCTCCTTGTGTACACTGACCTGGAAGCTTTCCAAACTGCAGCCCTTTGGATTTTCATGGAGTCTTCATTACATAGGTACAATTGATTCAACCTCCAGCCCCTCTCCCTTCCCTCCAGAGACTGAAGCTTCTGACCCCCGTCACAGGGTTGGTTCCCCTGCCAACCAGTTCCCATCCTTAGGGGTGGAACAAAATCTCCTCATTCACATAAACTCAGGTGTGGTTGACAGGGGCTTGTTATGAATGTGATGGAAACTCCAAGAGTTTTAGGAGCTCTATTCCAGGAATGGTACAAAACTAAATAGATATTACTTACAATGAGTCATAACATCATAACCATTGTTTCGTGTACTTTGTTTATTGCTTGGATTCTTTCAGCTGGGAGGGTGTCTTAATTTGTGCTGCTCTTAGTGCTGCAGACTGTGTGGCTTCTGAACAATAGGAGTACACGAGTGTCTCTCAGTGTTAGAGGCTGGAAGTCCAAGATCAGAGTGCCAGTGCAGCTGAGTTCTTCTGAGTGGCAGATGGGCCTTCTTCACTGTGTCCTCGCATGGTGTGAGGAGCGCTGTGGGATCCCTTTCATAGGGCATTGACCCCATTTCTAATGGCCCCACCCTCATGACCTAGTCACCTCCTGAAGATCCCACCTCCCAGTGAGCTTGGGGGACACACAAACATCCAGTCCCTGAGGCACCATTGTGGCTATGAGTGGAAGCCCCAGCTGAGGCCTGGATACAGCAGACTCTGTCCTCTAGTGGAGCAGAATGGGAAGAGGCAACCACTGTCCCTGCCTGCCATTTATGAAGCTCAGAGTCACCCCATGTTTACAATTTGTTGGGTTATGTACTTAGTTATAGGCCTGGAACTTGGGCTGGTAACAGCTGTAGGGCAGGGAGGGGCCACAGGGTAGCTGTGTCCCCATAACTTCTGACTCAGGAGGATAAGTGGCTCTCAGAGACAGCCACGCAGTGAGAACCAGGTGGCCCCTGGGGTGGGGCTGTGCCTGGGAAGAGGGGGCACAGCCTGGCTCCAGCTTTACACTTTGTCCTTAGTGACCAGCACTGACTACGACACTGCCGCAGATGCCACAGAGACCTCGTCCTACTTCAGTGCCCAAGGCTACCTGTCCAGGTGGGAGCCATTTGGGTGTGGGCAGTGTCCATCAGGCTGGCAGCCCTAGCCCTGGAGTGTGGGTGGCTGTGCTGGCTTATAGTGACAGAATCCCAGACCTGAGGGCTTCATCTGGCCATGTGGCCTCTGTCCAGCATGTTAATGGGGGACCTGGGAAGCCATCTAGGCCTGACCCCACCCCTCCTGCCCAGGGCCCCTCACCTGTCCACATCACACTGCCCCTCTGTTCTCTGCCAGCCATGAGCAGGAGGGTGCAGAGTCTACGTCAGAGGAGGGACAACTGCCCCAGATAGTGGAGGAGTTGAAAGACCTCCAGGTGGCTCCTGGCACACGCCTGGCCAAGTTCCAGCTCAAGGTGAAAGGTGAGGGGAATAGGGCTGGAGGGCCAGGTGGTGCCTCCTCCAAGCAGAGGTCAGGCCATGGCCATGGCCCGAGGTGTCTCCAGGGATCTTCTCCCCAGGCCAGGGGGAGGGCACAGTGCCCACTGGCAGGGGACCTGTGCTGACCACTCCCCCTATGGTACCAAGGCTACCCGGTGCCCCGCCTATACTGGTTCAAAGACGGGCAGCCCCTGGCTGCTTCCACACACATTCACATGGTGGACAAGAAGACACTGCACACCCTGGAGATCTTCTCAGTCACTGGTGAGGACGCTGGCCAGTACTCAGCCTATGTCAGCAACACCGTGGGTGCTGCCTACTCATCTGCTCGGCTCCTGGTCCGAGGTGGGTGCTGGGACTGATGTCTACCTACCCCTCTCCCTACCACTCCCCACCAATGGCAAGCATGGGATTAGGCCCACGGTCGTTGCCCTGTGTACAGAAGTGCAGTGGGAGAGCAGATGGCTCCCTGCCTGGATTCCAGAAGGTGCTAGGTACAGGAGTGGGAGGGCATCCTTGGGACCCCACCCTTTGAGCAGGCCCTGGCACCATCCCACTTCAGATCTGACTTTCCTGCCTCTTTCAGGCCCCAGTGACCCAGAGGAGAAGCCAGCAGCAGGTGAGCCGAATTGTGGCACTCAGAGGGGCACCAGAGGTTCTGCAGGGCGGTATGGGGATACCCATCAGGTGGAGTGAGAGAAGCACACTGGGAACAGGCTGCAGGGACAGCTGCCTGGGCTGGTGGGGGTCTGGGTCTGAAGGAAGGGGCAGAGCCTAGGCACCACACAGGGCTGTGGCTCTGTACTGGTCACCAGCAGCCATCTGTGCCTCTCCAGTTGTGCAGCAACAGCTGGTACCGCCCCGATTCCTGGAGAAGTTCACCTCCAAGAAGGTGAAGAAGGGCTCCAGCATCACTTTCTCCGTGAAGGTTGAAGGTAGGGTACCCTGCCCTCCCCACACAGCATCCCCAGGGAGGCTCAGAGCAGCCTCTTCTCCACTCAGAACTTCCAGAGGACTCAGAGCAGCCCCTGCCCATCTCAGGGTCCCCTAGAAAAGGTGAGAGGCACCCCACTAGAGCCCCCTTCTCAGTGGGGGCTGACTGTCCATTGTCCGCTCCTGCCTTAGGTCTGCCAGCGCCAGCTGTGCATTGGCTGCAGGAGGAGGCAGAGCGGGTACTGTGGATTGGCCCAGACACACCAGGCTACACAGTGGCCAGCTCAGCGCAGCAGCACAGCCTGGTCCTACTGGATGTGGGCCGACAGCACCAGGGCATCTACAACTGTATCGCATCCAATGCTGCTGGCCAGGCCCTCTGCTCCGCCAGCCTACGTGTCTCTGGCTGTGAGTCGGCATGGGTGACCCGGTGAATATGGGAGGGAGCTGCCACTGCTGGGGATTTGCACCCCCTCCCTGAGACCCCTCCCCAAGCATAGGCCCCAAGCAGTCTCTTCCTGACCCCGTTCAGCCCCTGTGGGGTGGAGCACCAAGCGTGGACTCATTCCTGCCCCTACCACTGCAGGGGGGTGGGTGCAGACCCAGTCAGGATGCCAGGCACAGCCTTCCTTGGCTGCTCTGGGCAGACGGGCTGAGGCCCCAGGTTGGGCTGGCCCAGACATCCCAGGCAGAGGTCGCCACCAAAATCATCTCAGTGGGCTGGGCATCATCCTGGCAGTCACCTGTCCTTTTGACAGTGCCCAGGGAGGTGGAGTCAGTGGGGGAGACAGCTGGGGTGAAGGAGGCCCTCATCTCTACCTTTCTTCAGGGGTGAGTGAGGGGCTGTACCAGAGCTAATGGGGGTGGCTTGGGGGCCCTGGACCTGGGGTGGGGGACAGCATGCTGTTGGAGAGGGAGCCCCACCCTGGGCCACAGCCTGGCTCTGCCCCTTGCAAGCTGTATAGCTTGGGCCAGCCCCTTAACCTCTCTGTGCCTTGGTCTCTCCATTGTAAAATGAGTCCTCCCCAGGGCCTCACTCTGGCACCTGGCCCACTGCACTCAGACTCTCTCCCAAGGGTATGGGTGGTGGGCCCTCCCCAGACCCTCAGGATACCCCCACCTTCTCTAGGACCCAAGCTGTCTCCGAACAGATGCTGGAACCTGCAGGTTTCACTGACCTTGCTGGGCAAAAAGGTATGGGGGCACACAGGTGGCCTATTACTAATTTGGGGTGGGGAATGGGGGAGGCTGCTTGACCCCAGATGGCCTGCAATATCCGCTCTTCCAGCTTTGGGCTGGGGCTCCTCAGGTGCCCCTCTGGGCCTGGTTCTGAGCTCTGGTTGCCCTTGTACCTGGCCAGCCCTTGGCTCAGCTCTCACATCCAGCGATCCAGCTGGCTGTGTGGCGCCCAGGTGAGGGGAAGATTGTTGCCCAGTCAGGACTGGAGTGAGCATCCAGCCCCTTTCCAAACACCTGCACAGTGTATTCTGGAACCTTGGTATATTTTTCACTTTTCTATGACAAGTATCGATCTGCACAGAAATAGAGAGGATTGGGGCTGCGTGCCCATCACCTACCTTTGGGCCACTTCTCAGGTGACCTGCACCTACACCCTCAGCAGCCCCCATTCACCCCTGACCCCAGCCAGCCACAGAAGCTCACACCCCCCAATCTCCACACCCTAGGGCTAGATATCTAGGTTCTGCCCCCATCCCACCCAAACCACCCAAACCCCCCAAACCCCTTCCTAGACAAACCACCAAGGTGATGCCTTCAAGAGGAAGCACAAACCCCATTGGGGGGCTTCAACATCTGCATGCTCTCTCCCTATCCTAGCCTGTACCTGGCTTGGCCAGGAACTGCCCTGGCCTAGTGCCCTGCAGCCGTGCTGGCCACCCGCATTCCTGACCACCCGATGCCCCTCTCCTGGGTCCCGATTCCCTATATTTGTAGCCTCTCAGTCATACCTTGGCTCAGATACCTCTGAGCCATTAAAGCTCCTTATCCTGGTTGGCCTATCCGCTTCTGGCAGCATAGCCCCAAACCTGTGTGATCCTATCTTCTCTGAATCCTGGGCTCAGGGCAGGCCTGCAGGGGCTGTTCAAGCTTGTCTGCAGTGCACACTGGCTGAGCTAGGGTCTGACCAACAGGAGAGCCCCTGACACCTAAGGCCCATGGCCACTTGTCCCTGGCTGAGGTGGGCACAGAGGAGTTCCTGCAGAAGCTGACCTCACAAATAACAGAGATGGTGTCGGCCAAGATCACTCAGGGTGAGGGATCTTTGTGGAGCCAGGTCTTGGGTGGAAGATGGTGGGGGCAGTGACCCAGGGCTAGGGCCCCCCAAACCCACACCCTGGAGACCCATGGGAAGGGACACAAGGGGCTGTTCCTTCCCAGTTTCACATGCCCTGTGCCCCTAGCCAAGCTGCAGGTGCCTGGAGGTGACAGTGACGAGGAGTCCAAGACACCGTCCGCATCCCCCCGGCATGGCCGCTCCCGCCCCTCCTCTATTGTCCAGGAGTCGTCCTCAGAGTCAGAAGATGGAGACTCCCGGGGAGAGGTGCTGCCGGGGCAGTGGGCTGGGGGGGCATGAGGCTGTGGGGGGTGGAAAGCGAGGGTGCTGAGGGAACTGGGCCCTCAGGGAGCCAGGAGGAGGAGGCTGGAAGTGTACCTCTGAACAGCTGACATACTACCACGCCCAGGACACCCCCACATTCCCAAGTCTCCCTTCTTGTCACTCTGGGGTCGCCTTACCTGGCACCCCTTTTGTGTTTTCATCACAGAAATGTGTTGGGCCTGTTGTGTAATTTCACAGAATCTCAGGATAACTCCTTCTTCCCCATTCACTACCAGGGGCCCTGTGGCTTGGGTCCGTGAGAGGCCCTGCTGGCTCCTTTCTGGGTCTGACTCAGCACCCTTTCCCCCAGATCTTTGATATCTATGTGGTCACAGCTGACTACCTGCCTCTGGGGGCTGAGCAGGACACCATCTCGCTGCGGGAGGGCCAGTATGTGGAGGTGTTGGACTCAGCCCACCCTCTGCGCTGGCTTGTGCGCACCAAGCCCACCAAGTCCAGCCCCTCACGACAGGGCTGGGTATCCCCTGCCTACCTGGACAAGCGGCTCAAGGTACCTAGACTGCCAGGGGTGGGGTTGTTGTCCTGGGATTGTTGTCCCCTGATGAGTACAGGAACCTCACCCTCACAGGGCTGGGCTAACACCAAGGCCACCTACAACCCTCTCTGTTCCTCACCAGCTGTCACCTGAGTGGGGGCCTGCTGAGGTCCCCGAGTTCCCTAAGGAAGCTGTGTCTGAGGATGAGTATAAGAGGCGGCTGAGGTGAGGTGCCATGGTGTGTGTGTGTGTGGGTGCAGTCTTTGCCTGGTGACTTTGTGTGGTGGGACAACCCTATGGGGGTAGTGCCTCCACCTTCTGTTTGGCCCCAGTCTGCATGTGAGGGGAGGTACCTGTTTAGCACCTGAATTCCTGGTCCCCTCATGCTCTGCCTCCAGCTCCGTCATCCAGGAACTGCTGAGCTCCGAGCAGGCCTTTGTGGGCAAGCTGCAGTTCCTGCAGAGCCACCACATGGAGTACCTGGACCACTGCCCCCATGTGCCTGCCACCGTGGTCAGCCAGAAGGCTGTCATTTTCCGTAACCTGCAGGAACTCAGCCACTTCCATAGCAGGTGGGCAGGCCTGTGTGCATGCATACACATTTACACACATGTGGACACGTGCCACACACACAGACACCACACATGCATGCACACTCTCACACACATGCACATGTACCCACAGATCTGGGCCTTAGGGTGGGCAAGAGCCAAGAAGAGAAAGAAACTGGGGTGGCCCGATTTATCTGTGGGCATACCACATCTCTGTATGAGGATGCGTGCCCCCCAGGAACACAAGTTTGTGCACCTGGCTTACCCATGGAGTGCCTGCAGCAGTCCCACCTGCTGCAACCTCTGTACATAGGCACACACACGTGTGTGCACTCACATGCCCTAACACACACATGTATGGGTTACACAGCCACACACACGTGCACACACGTACATGCTCTTAAATGCCTGGGAATGGGTTGTATGTGCACAACACAGTGTGTACCCCACATATATGTACACAGGCACATGTGTACATGTGCCTATACGTATATGCCCACATGGACATAGGTTTCTTTGCATGTGGGCACACGTAGACATGCATGCCCATGCATGTGTGCACACCCTCAAACACCACACACATATGTTCCCATAGCCCTTGTTCACTTCAATCCTAGGAGCCAGTGGGACTAGGCCCTGGCAGGAGCCTGTTTCCTCCCAAACCTGAGGACTAGAATTGGGTCATGGGCTGTGGGCAGGGTTCTGACATTGTCCCTTCCGTGGCAGCTTCCTGCAGGAGCTGCAGATCTGTGACACAGATGATGATGTGGCCATGTGCTTCATTAAGAACCAGGTGGCCTTCGAGAAGTACTTGGAGTTCCTGGTGGGCCGAGTGCAGGCCGAGTCAGTGGTGGTCAGCACGGCTGTGCAGGAATTCTACAAGGTGCTCCTTCCCCTGATGCTGCTGGCTTCATCTCCAAGATGATTTTCCCTTACAGGGCCCTGCCTCTCCCCACCTGCCAGGGGCCCCCCCACCAGCTTGCCTAGGTCCCCGGGGCCCTGGCTTAGTGAGTAAAGCAGGTAGAGCCTCCTGAAGTTCTTCCCACCTGTCAGTGACCAGCCATTGAGGGGAGGGCCTACCTGGGAAGGAGGGAATGCAGGCTTGCTCTTGGGACCTGGGTGACATGAGCCACCCCCGGGCCTCACCCTAATGCCCTGAAACCCACACTGTGGTTCCCACAGAAATACTCAGAGGAGGTGCTGTCGGCTGCTGACCCCTCACAGCCACCCCCACCCCCGCTACAGCACTTCCTGGAGCAGCCAGTCCAGCGGGTCCAGCAGTACCAGGCCCTGCTCAAGGTAAGTGGGCTGTCCCTTGCCCTCAGTACCTCCTCTTGCCCTGTGGTACACCCTGACCTGGCATCTCTTCAGGAGCTGATCCGCAACAAGGCTCGGAACCGGCAGAACTGCACACTGCTGGAGCAGGCCTATGCAGTAGTGTCTGCCCTGCCTCAGCGTGCCGAGAACCAGCTGCATGTTTCGCTCATGGAAAACTACCCGGGCACCCTGGAAGCCCTGGGCGAGCCCATCCGCCAGGTCTGGGGGGGGGCACCGTGCAGGGCAGGTTGTAGGGCAGGGTGGTGGCTGTGCCCCAGGCTGACCAAGGGCCAACCACTCTCCCAGGGCCACTTCATCGTGTGGGAGGGGGCACCGGGTGCAAGGATGCCCTGGAAGGGCCACCACCGCCACGTCTTCCTGTTCCCACACCACCTGGTAGTCTGCAAGCCCAGGAGGGACTCACATACCGATACCTTCAGCTATGTGTTCCGGAACATGATGAAGGTCTGTGGGCATTAGACAGCCTGGTGGGGTGGGGAGGCTGCAGGGTGTGTGAGGGAGGCCTAGGCTGGTCCTCTGGGCATATCCAGGGCAGTGAACCTGCCTCCTCCCCCCACAGCTGAGCAACATCGACCTGAATGAGCAGGTGGAGGGGGATGACCGCGCCTTCGAGGTGTGGCATGAGCGGGAGGACTCGGTGCGCAAGTTCCTCCTGCAGGCACGGACTGTCATCACCAAGAATACCTGGGTGAAGGAGATCAGCAGCATCCAGCAGCGTCTGGCCCTGCCTGTCTGGCGTGAGTCCCAGTCCTGGTGTGGAGGCCAGATGCAGGCTCGAACCTTTCAGCCAAGCCATCTGGCTTGGGGACACCCAGGCCCCTGCCCTTGCCTGGGCAGCCATCAGGGAAGGGGCTGCCTCCTGAGACAGATGGCTAGCTCTCCCCTCCATCAGCTCAGCCTCTCTATGTGCTAAACTGGGGTGCTGGGCTGGCTCTGACCCAAGTGGGGACATTGGGTCTCATTCAGGGGCCCCCAGCACACAGTAGATGCCCAGGGTGTTAGAGTTGTGAAGGTCTGATGCCTGGGTCTCCTTTCTCACCTGGAATGGGAGAGGCTCCTTTTCAACACACTAACCTCTCCATACTCCCCACCACTCCCCAAGAACATCCAGCCTGCCTCCACTTCAGAGCCCATTCAGGCCCAGTGTGGAATCACAAGGACTGGTGTTTGTAGCAGCCACACCCTTTGGCCTTGGGACTTCTAGCCCTGCCAGGGGTGAACTGAGGGCCCAGGTATGTGGTATGTGTGTCCCCAGGGCCCCCAGATTTTGAGGAAGAGCTGGCCGACTGCACAGCTGAGCTGGGTGAAACAGTCAAGCTGGCCTGCCGTGTGATTGGCACACCCAAGCCTGTCATCAGCTGGTACAAAGGTAAGTCCCTGTGGCCTAGAGGTGCTGGCCCTGCCACATGGAAGAGCTGCCCAGAAGGAATTGAGCTGACCAGGGACCTAGGGTGGGGCTTGGTCAGGAGTTCGGTACAAAGGAGAGGCTTCCTGGCCAAGTTGCCTGCTCCCGAATCAAGGAGAGCCAGGCCAGGGCAGAGGAGGCAGGACAGAGGGCAGTTCAACTGCCTGAGGGAGCTGCCTTTTTGGGGCAGAGACGGGTGATAGCAGAGAGACAAAGGTTTGATGTGCCAGCCAGAGAACTAAGACAGAGCCAGGCACACACATGTGAAGGTTCCAAAGGGCAGTGAGGAGGTCAGGGGGTGCAGAGACAGAACAGTTGGGAATGAGGGCTGCTATGAGGCTTTAGGATTGATCCGAGTGTAATGGAGCTGCAGAGAGTCAAGGAACACTGAGGTTGGGGTCCCACAACCACCTTTCAGGTCAGTGATTCACCAGAAGGACTCACAAAACTCAGCAGAGCTTTTCCACTTAGGTTTCCATTGCTGTGGAAAGGGGCAGAGTCCAGGTGGGCTGTGTGAACAGCTCTTTCAGCTTTGGGTCTGCTGTCTCTGATTCCCTAGTTCGGGGTAAACGTCTGAGTCCAGTCTTGGTTTTGGAGCGTCATCCCAGAGCCATGGATCATTCTTGTCCTACTTGCCACCCCTGAAGGGCTGAGGGTGGGGCTGGAGAGGTCACTGGGGCATTGTGCTGGGTCATGCAGGAGGGGCCATCGCTGTGCCTATACTCAGTGCTGCATGGCAGAACTGGTGGATACAACAGATAGTTGCCAGTGGTAGCTTCAGAGAACTGCCTGGGGCCTCCCTTCTGGAGGGAGACCTGCTGGCCCATGTCCCGGGGCCCTCGGAAGTCTCCTCTCAGGCACCTCACCCTGCACAGAATGTCTGCAGCTCAATTGCCCTCTCTACCATTCCTCCTCACCCAGAATTTTTGGGTGAGGTATCTGGGAGAGTGGGCTCATAGGGACAAGGCCATTCATAAAGTCACGCAGAAGTGACTCTGCACCCCTTGGGCCCTCCCTTTGGACCAGGCTGCTCCCAGGAGCATGTGAAGGCTGGCCACTTGTGAGAAGAAAGAAGGATGCACCTCACCCAGGCAGGGCAGGATCCTGGGCTCTGATGGCAGTGGGCAGTCCTTGGTCTCTTTTACCCTGGCTGTCTCCCAGTGAGACCCCAGAGGGGTGCTGTGTCCAGTGAGTGAAAGCAGGTTAGTTTGTGCCAAGCCTCTGGGGACAGTTGGCTTGTGCTGACACATTGGTCAAATGTCAGGTGGTCTGGGTGGCCCACAGACATCTGGTCAGAGGCAGCCGTCAGCTGACCCAAAGCAGCATCATGGTGGGAAACACCACAGTAGCCTTGGGAGGCACTGACCTGCCAAGACAGGGGTCTGCCTCATGTGATGTGCCCCCTTTCCGGATGAGAGAATTTCTCAGCAGTCCTCTGTGTGGCCTGAAGCGGGGTCAATGCCATGCATCCTGTGGCAGCCCTACGTGGAACCTTGGTGACTTGGGTGGGAGCCCCCTCAGTGATCTCTTTGCCTGCATGGCTCATGGCCTCATGGGAGGGGGTGTCTTTCACCAGGCCATCTATAGTTTGTTAAATGGCAAAACAAACAACCAGGCCATTCGAAAAACCTCTAGGACAGGACGAGCAGCATTGGGCAAAAGATTTGCCAGCAGAAAAAAATGTCCTCATATAGTAGGAGCTGAGTGTTGGGGGCAGAGGGCCAAGCCCTGACCCAGCCCCAGGCAGCTGCCAGGGAGCCAAGAGCACTGGAGACATGTGTTAAAAGCCTTGCTGCACGGAGGCACTGCAGACCCGTGATAGCCATGTTATCTGGAGCCACAGAGCAGGGACTACATTGGGCTAGTGACAACCTATTCCCTCTGGCTGTGACCTGACCCTTTACCCTAGCTACCTCATGTCACATGGGAAGCCCAGAACCTCCTTTCTCCCCAACCTAGAAAGAAACAGACTGCAGGGCTGGACAGTTACATGTTCCCTGTGTGGGCACCCCCCTAGGAGTGTCCACTCCCCATGTTTGGAGCAGGGAATTCCATAGCACACATCAGGGTCTAGGAGCAAGAGCCACGGCTATAGTCCCCTGACTTGGCCTTGAGGCAACACTCTCTTTCTGGAGAACCGACAGCTTTGATAAGATTCCATCACTGGAATCCAGGTACCTGTGTCTGGTAGACCTGTGATGGTCCGACTTCTCCCCCTGCTCGAGGTCCTAGCTATATAGGATGGGCACATAGGACCTCTAGTCCCTCTGGCCCGGGGAGACTAACACCACTCCTGATCATTTTTCCCTTAAAGCTGTGGAGATTGGGTGGAGGAGGAAGAAGGGGCCAAGCGTCAGGGATTGAACAGTCCCAGACACGCTTCCACAGTTCAGTGACCTGCAGTGCTTTGGGCTCACCCAAACCCTAACCCAGGCAGCATGGCCCTTCCTGCTGACTTAACACTCGCCTCCCATCACTGTCTGGACTCCATGCCCCTTGGCCCGTCGGGGTCTAACTTGCATGGCACTGACCTTTTTGATGGGGGTGTCCACTTAACAGGACATTTCAAGCCTCTCTCCTTGAGGGCTGAACAATATGTCTGAGGAGGCAGGGGCACCTGTTAGAACACAAACCCCTGTAGGCCACCCCCTCCTCAAATGCTGAAGGAGCCAAGAGACCAGTGAACAAGGCAGACTAGTCTAGCTTGTCAGTTAAGGAGTTTAACAGCAGACTTACATACAGAAATGCAAGGTAGTCAGGTGTCCACTCCCCACCTCCCCAGCTGCTTTATGGCCACTGGGTGGATGGTTGGGTAAGAAGTATTTAATCTAAGGGGAGGGAGACTGCCAGGTGCCAAGAGGGTCTGCCATGGAGCTGGTTAAGAGGCAGACAAGCCAAGGGCAAATTACTCCAGAAGCAGAGCATGAAGCTCCCAGGGGTGGGGGCCAGGAGTCAAGGTGGCCCATTAGCCTTGGTAAGATCAAGCTCTGTCATTGTTGGGAGGTGGGACGACCTGCAGCTGAACCAATGGCACCAAGGAGAAGGCGTGCCAACCAAGGCGCTGGCCAGGAGGAGGCTGTCTCTGAACCCATTTCTGGGTGTGCAAGCTGTGGCCACCCACCCAGTACCTCTCCATTCACAGGCAGTAAGCAGGGTGGGCTTCCTGCCCAGCTGACCACACAGTTCGGTTGTCATGTCCACCACCAAGTCCCATGGACCTCTCTCAGGTCCTATTAACTAGCCACCTTCTTTCTCTTCTGGAATGATGTCTCTGACAGCATCCCTTTCTGGTCACCAAACTGAGTATCAAGCCACAAATCATCTGCCAGCCAGACACAGACACAAGGTGCTGGTCAGAGACAGAAACTGCTGGTCACAGAAAAGCACAGTGTTTTTGGTCAGTTGCCATGATCTCCACATCCAGGGCCAGATGTTAGTTGCACACAATGGACTGCACTGCAGGAGAGACCCCAAGTTTGAGGAGGGTCTAAGCTTTTATGGAGCTACCGACACACCTGCCCATTTGTTTTCCAGAGAGAGAAATACTTTGCGGGCTGTAAGGAAGGAGAGGGCTCCGTTCCTGCTGCTCTGGGTGCTGCGGGGGTCTCCTTGCCCAAGCACCCGGGAGCTGGGTGGGCAGCATGGCAATGCAGGGGAGGCATGGAGAGCTCTTTTCTGACACTAGGATGAGGACTGAAAACGGACTCTTAACCAAGAGGCGTCCTGTGGGGGGTGGAAGCTGAGGGGAGGGGTTTTGAAAGACAATGAGAAGGGGGCACTGAAAGTGGGGAGAGGGTGTAAACAACTTTCCTGGAACATAGTACAGCACATCGGAGAAAGCGGGATGTGGCTGGAGCCTTTTTTTTGTATATGTTAAGGTAATTTTTTAAGGTTCCCTGTGAATTAAAGGTCAAATGCTGGTTCTGAACTATTGTAATTTAAACCACACGTGCAGAGCTATTGTAAAGTGTTTGTTTATGGAATTATATGTATTTATGGAGGAAAGAGTTCCTCAGAGTGAAAAGTACCTATCTACCCATTCCTTACCCAGGAAAGAAACACATTATGGGCACAGACGTTAGGTTGGGTGGGTGTTTGGACAAGGGTGATTAAAGAGATGGGGGTGACTGAATGTGTCTGCTGGGGGGAGCCATCAGCGCCTTGGAGTTGTCTGGAAGTCACACTTCATTGGCAAGGAGGCTTAGGGTCTGCTTATTGGAATAAGACATCTGCTGCCCTCAGGTAAAAGCCTGCCCTCTAGAGGCTACACTGTGTACACAGAGGTCTGGGGAAGTTTTCAGGGCTCTTCAGCTTGGCCAGCAGGACCCTCAGCAGGAAGCCTCCTCTGGCCCTTGTGCTTCAGGGCTGCTCTTCACTCCCCATCAACACCTGTGACTGTGACGCCCAGGCAAGCCCAGCCAATCATCCCCATGGGGTCCCTCTGTGACAGCCCTCCCTCCTTTCCAGATGGGAAGCCAGTAGAGGTGGATCCTCACCACATTCTCATTGAAGACCCAGATGGCTCATGCACTCTCATTCTGGACAACCTGACTGGTGCTGACTCTGGCCAGTACATGTGCTTTGCAGCCAGCACTGCTGGCACAGCCAGCACCCTGGGCAAGATCCTGGTACAGGGTAAGCTTGGGAGGGAGGCTGGGTGTAGGGCACCTAGGCAATGTCCACTGCAGCAGCCCCAATGGGTGCAGGCATTCAGAAGGAGCTGGTGGGTGCTGTGGTTCTCTGACCCAGGTCTGGGGCTCTCCGTCAGGTGGAGTCCTGCACCTTATACTCTCTCTCTCTCATTTCTCTCTCTTTCTGTGTGTGTGTGTCTCCCTCTGTCCCTATCTCTGTCTCTGCGTCTTTCTCCATCTCTCTCTGTCTCCCTTTGTGCCCCATGCCCTGTGGCCCCTCAGTTCCTCCACGGTTTGTGAACAAGCTCCGGGCAGTGCCTTTTGTGGAAGGAGAGGACGCCCAGGTCACCTGCACCATCGAAGGTGTTCCACACCCTCAGATCAGGTGGGCTGGGGTGATGAGGGGGTAGGGCTGCCACTTCTGTCTGAAAATCAAGGGTGGACAGCATGTACACAAGGTCTGGGTGGGTGAGACAGAAGCTCAGCCTTTTGGATAACAAGTGGGGGCCTTGGGACCAGTATGTTCTGACACAGCTCTAGCAGCAGCAAGGAAGACCCTGCCAGATGGATATGGCAGGAGGCATTCAAGAGGGTGGGTGCTATAACGGCACCCTGACCGGAGGGATGGGTGAGGGAGAGTCATGAGCACAGGGGGCTCGGAAGAGGCCCCAACTGACCACCAGGGCTGGTTTCAGGTGGTACAAGGATGGGGCCCTGCTGTCCACTGGCGGAAAGTACCGGACCCTGAGTGAGCCACGCAGTGGCCTGCTCAAGCTGGAGATCCAGGAGGCCAGCAAGGAAGATATGGGCTACTACGAGTGCGAGGTGAGGAAGGGTGCAGAAACGTGGTTGGGGGCTTGTCATCATCAGCCAGGACACATGATGAGAGAGGGGACACCAGACTCACTGTCACTCACCATCCATGATAACAAAGGGAACACCAGGTTCACTATCATGCACCATCTACGATGACACGGAGAACCCTATGTTCACTGTCACTCACTATATGATGACCCAGACCTGCTGTCACTGACCAATCATGAGGTGCAAGCAGGATTCCATAGGGGACCTGGGTAGGGTGTGTCCTCAGTTGTGTGGGACAGTGTGCAGGCTTGGCTCCACCTGGCTCCATCCTCCTCAGAGGTGGTGCTGCTGGCAGCCTGGGGCAGACAGGGATGGGTCTGGCCTCCACGTCAGGTCCTGAGGACACAAATCGTCTTGTCAGCTTGGGCCCTGTCCAATTCAGTTTAAATTTAAATCTGTTAAAGCTAACTCTAAGATTCACTCCATTTCCCGTGTTCAGGGCCCACAAAACTGCCATTTGGAACAGTGGGGACAGAGAGTATCCTCCACCATGACGGGATCTTGGGCAGTACTGGGTCCCTTTGGGGACATGGTAGCAACTCTAGGACTCTGTGGCCAGGCTTTAGGACTCTGACACACAGGAGCGGGTGCCCCCACACTCTAGCCAGTCTTTACATCCCCAGAGAGGTGCCCATGGCTCCTTGGGAAGCTGTGGGCCCTCAACGGCTTCTGCTGTCCATCCCACAGCTGGTGAACCGGCTGGGCTCGACACGGGGCGGCCTGGAGCTGGGCCTGCAGGGCTCCACACTACAGGCCGGGGAACAGCGCCACCGCCGGGAGCATACCACTGCCATGATGGAAGGTAGGTGCAGCCACTGAGGGTCTCAGCCTCAGCCTCAGCCTCAGCCTGGCTGGATTCTCTGTACACCTGGCCCAGTGGGGTGAGATCATAAGTCCTTCCAAGGAGGGTGTGTTCCCTGGAGAAGAGGTATTGGGGCTATGGAGGAGTTGCAAGGCCTGAGACTGGAATAACAGGCATGTGGGACAGTTGGTGGTGGTCCGTAAACCCAGAACCTGGCCAAGGCTGGAGGGGCAGTCCTGGGGTTGGAGACTCAGGACCTACTCACCATCCCCAAGGCCGGACCCAGGCCGAGCAGTCTGCCAGGCAGAGGTGAGCGAGTCCTCATGGGAGGGACAGGAGGGGTGGCAGATGGGACAGTTCCACCTGAGAGGGGGCCCCTACCAAGTGCAGAGTGTAGGCTGCTGGGTTCCAGCTCGGCTCCTGGGAGAGGCAGCAGGTGTTGGAGCCTGGTCCCTCCACACCAGGTCGGTTGTCCATGTTGAACACATCCCCTGGCTGCTTCTGGTCCTGGTGCTGCCCCTGGGGTCCTTGGAGAGGGAGGGGTGGGCCAAGCTGCAGAATGGGCCTCATCTGGGAAAGGTGTGCTGCTGGGCAGGAGGGGAAGGGCAAGGAGATGCTTCCACTCACATGCACGGTGGCTCCAAGGTCCCAGCTGGGTCTGGAAGGGGAAGGCCAGGATGCAGAGGAGGGTAGCTGGCACCTATCCTGGGCCTGCTCAGACTGAGAGAGCAGTGTTATGGGGCTTGCGGAGCAGGCTGCCACCCAGGGAGAATTTCTCCCAGTCTGAGCTGTGCCACCTGGAGGGGCTGTCTGGTAAGGTGGTAAGCCTTCCATCCCTGGAGACATGCAACACAGGCCGGGCCAACACCTGGTGCAGCCGCAGCTTTCACAGCAAGACGAGTTGAAATACGTGTCCTTCCAAGTTCTGAAAGTTGGCTTCCGTGATCTTTGGGCCACTGGATTCAGTGCCTCCCAGGGCCCGACGTCTGGGGCCCACTGTCCATCTGGATCCTCACAGATTCAGGCCATCTAGTGCTCAGAGATTGGCCTTGCAGGGACCCTGCCCTCCCCTATGGGCAGGGGCCCTATTTCTTGTCCCCCAGAGGGCAGCCTGCACTGGCTGAGCCAGGTCCTGCCGGGAGTCCCTAGGGTGTCTATGGCATTTCTGCGTCTTGCTGGGTGGTATCTCACGGGGATGTGCTAAGCAGGGGCCATGGCCATGGCATGCCCTGTCTGCACATGATAAGTGCATCTGACAGAGCCACTCACTTTGCTGTCACGATGGATCTTTTTATCAATAATCCATGACCGTGTGCAGGAAATGGGGCTGTGCCTCACTCAGGGAGATGGCTGTCCTCATGGACCCTGGTATTGGAGCCTCCCACCTCTTGCTTCCTAACCTTGTCCTGCTGCTTCATCGTTAACCCGGTGGCCCCGCAGCTGGCCCTGTGGGGTGGGCACTGCCCACTCGCTTGTGAAACTGCACTGGGCTGGAAGCCCTGCTTCGCAAGGCTGCACCCTTCCTGTGGTTGCCAGCACTCACGGGGCCCAGGGCCTGTCAGGTGGCAGTCAGGTCAGGAACAAAGTGTAGGGTGCTAGGCCACCACTCCCCAGAGCAGCAGGACAGGCCCCAGCCAAGAAGGGTGACAGGCAAGGCGCTGCATCTCTGCTGCTCTGTGCACAGGGTCTGGCTCTCTCTGGGCCCCACTTAGACCACACACATGGCGTTTTGGCTCATCTCACTCTCTCCCAGTGGGCTGCACTCTCTCCAGGAAGCAGTCTACACACACAGACACACACATCCATGTGCATAAACATGCAGGCAGACATGCACACATGTGTGCACATGTGCAGTAAGTGTGGCTCCCAAATGTGTGTCCTAGTGTGGCACATACAGATACAAGTAGCATATCCAATTCACACATGCCTAATCAGAGATAAGCTCGGATGCTCTCAGTCGCCTAAGGCCGACCTTACTCCACGTGGCACGGCAGCACGGCAGAAAACCTGCAGACCAGGGGCTGGAGGCCCTGTGCCTTGGGCCCTACTGCCTGAACTTTGAGCTTTCCCTTCAATATCCCTTCAGGACGGTGACAAGGAGTGTTGAGATGTGAGGGTGCTGGTAGCTGTAGAATGGTTGCTGTCCACATGGGCAAGGTCAGGTAGGACATCTGTGTGCCAGGCCCAACCCTGCCCAGAAGCTGCAGAGAAAGAGGACTTAGATGGTTGGGCACCCTGCTGCCTGGTCCTGCCTCCCTCTCAGGATGGGGACCACAGGCCCTCTCCCCCTGACTCCAGAGAGGAGGAAGGCCTGGTGCTCCTATTTGGAGACTTAGGTTTCCCAGCTCCCTTGGAGTTCAGGACCCTGACAGGAGCCTGCAGGCTGCTCCCAAGGGACTGTGTGGTCTGCCACGCAGTTCAGATGTGCCTGCTTCAGGACTTCAGTCATTCTCTCCTAGAGATACCTTTGATCTCTAGGATGTTTTTGGTTTTTTGCATCAGCTATCCTGGTGCTAGTTTGGCTGCTTGCTCATTGTGCAGCTGCAGGCTATTCCTTTTCCCACTCTAGCCCTCAATTCCTATGTCTGAAAAATCAGACTTTGGGCCTGACAAATACCCAGGGCTCCCTAGGCACATGGCTAAAGGAGAAGCTGGGATTTGTCTATGTGGGCAGCCTAGGCTGTCCCTGAAGCCCCTGCAATACCCTCAAGAGGGACAGGGGTGCTGCCCTTCTGTGGCATACAGTTATGCTACTCAAGGCACACATGGTCACCATTTCAGAGGCAAGGGAGCTGGGGCTCTAAGCGGAGGCAGCTGTCCTAGCCACACACTACCAGGCAGGGCTGGGAGCCAGGGTTCCAACGCTGAGAGGCTTACTACGCTGCCATGCCACTCAGAGAGCTCAGCCCAAAGCGCTGGCTGATCTGTAACCCTCGCTATCCTGACTGTTTTCTTTGTAGTCACTGAGCAGGAGACTAAAGTCCCCAAGAAAACCGTCATCATGTAAGTGCAGGCGTGTTCCTAACATTCCCTCTGACTGCAGTGCCCCCTGCATGCCCACTAACCTGCCTGGACCTTGCCTGTCTGGTCTGGCTGCCTGCTCGCCTGACTGCCACCCTCATAGCCTTTGCTTGTCACATAGAGGGCAGCACTTTGCAGAGAGTCCCAGGAAGCTGCCCTTCCCCTGGGATCATGGCCACCTTCATGCTGCTGACCTCTCTCTTCCAGGGCCTCAGAGCCCTCACCATGGCTGCCCTGCCTCTGGGGGCAGAACACCCCTGCATACTTTAGTGTCTCACCCAGGGCTTGGACCCAGAGTCACACCAGTTGGGGTGGACCTGGGACCGACAGCTGTGTCCCAGGTTGCTAGTGGTATGTTTCTGCCCTTCAGTGCCCTGGGACCTAGGGCATCACTGTCCAACAGAACTTCCTGTGACGATGGAAATAGTGCACATTTACATAGCCTCCCACAGCAGCCACTGGCCACATGCAACTACTGAGCATTTAATAGTGTCTAGTGCAACTGAAGAACTGAATTTTATCTAGTTTTCACTAGTTTGACTTTAAATAAAATAGTATAATCATAGTAGACAGCACAGCTCTAGGGCCCTTAGAAGTCTCCAGGTCCAACCCTCACATTGGGAAGATGGTGAAACTGAGGCTCAGGGGAGAGAGGAATGTTGGTTGGAGTGGCTCATGATTAAAAGCTGGCTGAGAACCCATTTTCCTGGTGCCACACCCAGAAAATCCGCGTCCTTCCTCGTCCTTCAGTGCCTTCAAGGCTGAGGGAAAAGCCACATGGTTGTTCATAAATGAACAGCACAAGAGGTCCAGAGCTAGCTGAACCCACAGAAGCAGGGTTAGTTTTGGCCTGGATATCCTGAGAGGATTTCCAGCAGGGGATGTGTGCAGGTGGAGGTGGTAGGAGAGCTTGCCAAAGCTGGGAGGCGAGAATGACTATTGTTTCCAAAGGCCAGGTGATGAGAACTCCAGGGTGGGTAACCTCCTAGCCCCCTTAAGGAACCGACCATTGGTCACCTCTCTGGAAAATCCCATATTCAGATGTTTGATGAGATCCTGGGTTGATCCTTTCTTGACCTGCTTCCTCTTCCCACAAAGCAGGCCACCCCCCACAGCACAAGGCTGCCTAGGGCAGCAATGAGCGCCCACCCCATGGCTGGCACTCCACAACCTGACCCGGATCAACTCCACATCTTATCCTGGAGGGGAGCGTTGTTCTTGTTTACATTCAATGGAGACAAGTGGAGTAGCAGAGATGAGGCCAAACGGCCCTGGGGGAGGCATCAGAGATGACCCATGCCAGTGGGAGGCTGGACGAGGTGGCTCCTGGCCCTCAAGTCCATTGTGTTCCAGGCTCCTGGAAGTTGCCAGCCATGCCCTGCAGGGAGTGTGGCCCTTCAGCTTGAGAAGAGAAGGGCAACTGCCTGGCCTTGCGTCCCTCTGCCAGGGGCACACTGCACCAGCAGGGACCATGGGGGGCCAAGAGGGCCAGAAGGAAACTGGCTTGGAGAGACAAGGCTCTGCTGCTCCTGGGTACCCCCAGGCTGTGCCCGCGGCCTCAGAGCAGGAGGCCCACGTGCCCTCATGGGGGCAGCAGTGAGCCCAGGAGAAGGGGTGGCTTTTAAAAGTCTTTACTGGAGAATTTTAGAGAGAGGAGGGGCGAGAGACAGACAAAGAGAAGACAGACATTGATGTGGGAGAGAAACATTCATGAGTTGCCTTCTGCATGTTCCCTGACTAGGGATCGATCCTGCAAAATTATGGTGTGTGGGATGGCACTCCAATCAACTGAGCCACTGGCCAGGGCTGGGGATGGCATTTGGAGGAGTGAGCCAGTGTCCCAGTTGCACTCGACTTCCTGTCCTATCTCAGCCTGAGGCCAGAAGATGGGGTCCAGCCCAGTTCCTCCTGACATTTGCACCTCTGGGCCTGGGTGTGAGGCTGGAAGCAGGCCTTGGCCCTGAGCAGGCCACAGCCACACACCCCAGTTTCCCATCAGTTAAGTGGGGACAGCATTTCCCCTTTGCCAGGTGAGGGCTGGAGGGGAAGGACCTATAACTGCTGCACACCCTGAGTTGTGATCACACATCTCAGGCCCAGCCTAGGTGTCACTGCTCTTGGGTGCAGCCCCGAGTCAGACAAAAGCAAAGCTGGAGAGAGAGACAGCACCTTAGTCATGACAGGCAGCTGGCAACAGCACTGAGTCATCCCTACCCGCAGGTCATATCCTTCTGCCTGGGCCTGAGAGGACAGACAGGGCCCAGGGTCCAGGAAGGCTTTCTGTCACTCAGCCTGTCTCTGCTTCCTGCCTGTTACTCACTGCATCCTTAGCACCCAGCCAGCTCAGTGGCACTGGATGGCAGGGGAAGACCTGGCTGGCTGGCAGGCAGGCTTCTGACTATTGGTCCTACATGTGCACTTTTGAAAAGGGGCACCTTTTAAAAAGGGGCAAGTTTTGAGCCCTTTTTAGCCTTGTAGAATTCGGTCAGACCCATCCCCCGGTGCTGCTGCAGAGTTTCCAGTCAGCACCTCATGTGCACTTACATGCAACCGGCCTCCCATTCTGTCTCCTCTTCTCTGTCGTCCCCTATTTTGGGAGACAAGGCCCCAAAAGGGGAAAACCTAGTCCAAAGTCACAAAGCCTATGACAGCAGAATCACACTCCGAGCCAAGTGTCCTTGTCTAGCATCATAACCCAGACGGAGGCCAGGGACACAGGCTATTTCAGGGCTCTGACAATCCACACCTACACCAGCACCTGTGGCATTAACTGCCCAGTCTGTCCCTGCCCTCTGAGAGCTTAATGAAGAACCCCCCTTCCATGAAGGAAAACACAAAACACTGGTGGAATGGACAGGGAGGGCTGTGGGGCAGCGCCTGTCCATCAGCTCTTCGAGGAAGACTGGTATCTCCCAATGGGGTCACCACCAACAGGGAAGGAACGCTGGCCCAGAGGGACACTGCAGACTGGACTTGGTCTGAGGTTTGGGGGCACCGGTGTGATGCAGTGACATCTCAGCTCCTGTTTGGAAGTCCTTACACCAGAGCCTCTGGTTGAGCAGATGAGACATTGTTTCTTTGGTTCTCTGGCTGGAAGTTCTAGAGACCGGGCTCAAGTGCACATGTAGGAGCTTGTGCAGTCTCACCATTTGCTTGCTGGCACACTAACCTGATCTCTCGTGCTGGCCTTGCATGTGTGGTGGCATGGGTGGCAAGCTGGGCTGCGGTGTCTGTGCCATCCCCTCTCGGCCCTCTCCCTGCAGAGAGGAGACCATAACCACCGTGGTGAAGAGCCCCCGTGGCCGTCTCCAGTCCCCCAGCAAGTCTCCCTCTCTCTCGCCTTCCCGCCGCCCTGCCAGTCCCTCCAGGCCAGGCCTGTCGACCTCTGAGCTGCTGCACTCACCAGGGGCCAGCCAGCTCTGCAGGCCAGGGGTGGAGATGGGCTGGAGGCCCACTGTACCCATGCTGTACGTGACAGAGCCTGGAGCCCAGACGCTGGCCCTGCCCAAGGGCACTGGGCCCCCATCCAAATGGGTGGAGGTCGAGGAGACCATTGAAGTCCGGGTGAAGAAAACAGGCCCGAGAAGTGCACCTCCAGCTGGAGAGGCGCCCAGCAGTTCGGCGGGGTTTCTCTTCACGCTACCTGGTGGGGCCCCAGGAGGAGACCCCAACACAAACAACTCCAACAACAAGCTGCTGGCCCAGGGGTCCCTGCCCCAGGGCAGAGTCTTCTGTGTAGGCGCTGGACTGGAGAACCCTGAGCTGTCCCCTCCCGGGGCTGCTGGAGAGGAAGCCCCCCTGCAGATGCAGGATGGGGCAGGTGTCTGCTTGACAGAGGAGCCCCTAAGAGCCCATGATCTTCAAGGTTATGACCCCAAGATTCTCACACACGATGGTTGTGTGCTGACGCTGGCTGACCTGGAGGATTATGTGCCCCAAGAAGGGGAAACCTTTGGCCGTAGCAGCCCCATGACCAGTGCTTCTGATGACCCACCCTGCGAGGTCTCAGTGCTCCAGAGAGAGATCCGTGAACCCACTGTGGGACAGCCCATCCTGCTCAATGTGGGGCGCCCACCAGGTCCCCAAGGCCCCCTTGGCTTCTTCAGCCACTTCTCCCAGGAGGGGGCTTCATCAGGGCCTCAGGTCTGTGGCCGTCTTGGCGCCTCCTGTGTGCAGGGGAGCTGGGCTGAGGGTCCCACACCCTGGATGCCGTCCTTCCGCACTCAGGTCCATCGCTCTGCGGACAGTGGCCAGAGTAGCTTCAAAACGGAGGTTTCCACCCAGAGGGTCAGCTTTGGGACAGTGGGTGAGACAGTCACCCTGCACCTTCGCCGGGATGGGGATGAGGGCCCCAGCCCCTCCCAGGGCTGAGGCTGTGGTCGTGGTTGTGGGCACAGGCAACTGGGGGGTTGAGACAGGGACTCTCTTGGAGCCAGGAAACTGCCGATAGGGCTGCCGGCTGCTGTGGCTGCACAGGGGCAGCAGAAGAGGAGGCCTGGCTTGGAGGCCTAGGGCCTGGCCTGGCACCTGCACCCACCTGCTTCACAGTGTCCTGTGTTTGGGGCTCAGGAGAGAGACCTGAAGCCAGCACCTCGGGACATGTGCTCTGACCCTCCCCTTGTTCTCCAGCAATTTGGGACTTGAGCTGCCCATCCTCCCACCAGGTGCTTCCTACCTCATAGGGGTTTCCAGCTGAGGACACTGTACGCACAGCTGTAACCCAGATTATCGCAGTTCTGTGGGAGCAACGGGAACCAGCTCCGGGCTGCGTCCCACTTTGTTTCCTGTGGCACAGTCTTGCCCCATGCCAAGGTGCTCGGTGGGGGCTTCCCTGAGGGCACAACTTCCCCATGGACACTTTTCTCAGCCTCCAGGGAGGCTGACTGAGGCCTGTTGGGGCCTGTGCTGCAGACCTCTCAGGCCTCCCCTGCAGAGTGGGCTGGGGTCTCTAGGTGGAAGCAGCCCCTGTCAGTTAATTCTATGATGATAATAAACTGGCTCCTGTACCCCATATTCTGCTCCTTCTTTCTTCCAGTGGCTCTGGCAACTTGGGCAGGAGGGGTCCTCTAGGCTGGACCCTCTGCTGGCAGCCATGGGTGGGTCCTGGCCACCCTTGGGTCTGTGGGTGGGGGCAGGACAGCTCATCATTCCAGCCTGGTAGCACTTGGGCTGAGGGGCTGGTTGCCAGTGCACACGGTATGCCTGCCCATGGTGGCGGCTCCCAGCCTGCTGCGGGTGAGCAGGCCTTCCTGGCCCTTGTGCAGCGGTGCTGCCGTCAGGACATACAGCGAGGGTATGATGTGTGCGGGGTCCTCCTTGGGATGGGAACGGACAGGGTGGGTGCCCTGATGTGGGAGAGGGTCTTGGGGCAGGGGAGGGCTCTAAGCTGGGGACCTGCTGGGAATGGAGCACTGGGCATGACTGGGTACACTCGTCAGGCCTCAGCGATGCTACCCAGGGCTGGCAGCCGGGTGCAGGAAAGGGCTGCACCTGGAGCTGAGGGCAAGGAGGGTCCAGCAGTTCCTTTGGGAAGGGAGGCCAGGGCAGGGGCCAGATGAGGGTGGGGTGACCTGGGTCCAGTCGGGGTGCACTTGGAGGGAAGGGCAGATAGACTTTCAGGTAGAATCCCCTCTACAGCTGATGACGGGGCTACCGTGGGGAGGCAGCAAGGGAGCCCACCCCTGTGGACTCCCGGGTCCCTGACTTGGTGCCAGGCTGCAGGCTGCCCATATCCTGGGGTCTAGAGTGAGCCAAGGGGGATGCCAGTGTGCAGTGAAGGGATGGGGAGAGCAAAGACTGAGGGACAGACGGGGTACAAGGTGGGTGTCCAGGCCCAGCTGCCCTGGGAGGTGACCTCCAGGGCTCTGCATTCACTCCCCTGAGCACCCTCTCCCAGACCAGGGAGAGGGGCCACTCCCAGGCCCCTTTCTCTGTCAGGGCCCTACCACCTGCGCCTTCTGGGAGAGTAGTGGTGGGCGGGTAGAGCAGGCGGTGGGAGAGTCAGCCAGGTCAACTCCCCTGGACATCTTTGAGGACCGAGGTGGGCTTCCTGGAGCCCCTCCCGAGGCCCAGGCCATGCCTCACCCTTACACACTGACCTGCTTTTGCCACAGGTGCTGCTGTCCCACCCCCAGCTGCCCTGGAGAAAAAGGACCAGGACATCAGGTCTCTCCAGAGGATGCTGATGGGCCCTGAGGCTCCAGGAACCTCTACAGGCGACCACGCCAGCCTAATCCCCAGGGAACCACTTGCTCTCCAGGAGGCCAGCTCCCAGCTCCTATGCACAGAGGCTGCACATGAACCTGGTGAGGAGCAGTGGTAGGCTGACTACAAAGTACCCCCTGCTGTCAGAACCCCCTCCTCTGTGCTGACCCCGACCTTGGTCCTCATGGGCGCCCATCCCATTGGAATGAACTGGCAGAACCCTGGGGACCCAGGCATCGATGGAAGTCCTGGGCAAGGCCCACGCCTCACTCAGGCTGCCTATGAAACTAGGCAGGGGGTAGTTTGGGAGGTTCTGCCCACCCTGGACACATCTGTCCTGCATGTGAGAAGTCTGCTGGTTCAGACCCCTGGCGGACAGCCTGGACACTCTAGGCTTCAGGGCAGGCCGGAGGGAAGGGAAAAGTGGGGGAGGAAGAGGAGAAGGAGGGGACACCTGACAGATGTGGTTGCAGGGAGGCTGCCGAGGTTGCTGCGTCCCTTTGTAGGATGGGGTCGGGGTTAGGGGCTAGGCAGCTCAGGGCTGGTAGCCCGGGCTACCAGCTGGGACAGGAGGGTGCCCTGGAGGAAGTGTGCATGTGTGGCAGGAGCCTGGGTTTGGGGGCACAGACCCTGTGCCCTGCTCGGCCTGTGCTCTTGCCCTCTGGGCCCTGGAGGGTGGTGCAGGGGCATGTGGTGGTGGACAGCCCCAGCCCCACCCCAGCCTCCACCTCACTTGACCCTGGCCTCTCCCAGCAGAGCCCAGGCAGGTGCTGCAGTCCCTTCAACCTATGAGTCAGGGTCAAGGCTCGGAGCCCCTCTCCATGGCACACAAACAAACTGTTCCCATCAGGTAATGTACCTAGCATGCTAGGAGGGACATTCCATGAGGGACATCTGTGGGTGGGGCAGGAGGCTCACAGCACCCCAGGACATTCCTTGTCAGCCCCACTCTTGGGCGAGAGGTGCTGAGGCCCCTGGCTCTACATTCCTTCCCAAATCATCTGCTGCAGCCTCAGGTGAGGGTGTGGCAGGGACCCAACTTAGCTCAAGGGTCAGTGCCCACCCCCAGCAGTGGGTTGGCAGGCAGACAACTCAACCCACTGCCTGGCTCCAGGGTGGAGTCCACAGCCTGGCCAGAGACAGGGGCCACAGAGCTCTGGGATGTCTGCAGCCATGTGTTCACAGAGACCACTCACCGGACATATGTGTACCAGGCTGGCGATGCGGGGGCCACAGGTAGGTTGTGTACGTGACCCTGTGCCCTCTGCTGGGTGACACTTGCACAGGGGGGCCATCCGATGTGTGCCAGCCCTGCTATGGCCGCCCTTGCTGCCCTCAGTCCCTGAACTCCCTCAGAGGGCTTCACTGGGAAGGGAGGCAGGCAGCAGTGAACTGGACAGCCATTCAGTGGCCTACGTTAGGATGCTCTGCATGCCCTGCCCCCGGAGAGCTGGGGTTCAAGCAGGACAGGCGGTACTCTGATGGAAGCAAGCACTTCCTAACCAGGAGCCTGGGTGGAATCAGGAGGGGGTCACCTTCACTTGGGAGACAGGTGGGCTCTGTTACCCTGTGGGTATCTGAGGGCCTTGCTATTCACCTGGGATACCAGGACGCACCTAGAGTCCCTGCCAGCCCACCGAGGCCTTGGTGACACAGGCCCCAGCTCACAGACTCAGTGCGGTATGGGCTGCAGTGGATGGCCAGTCTGTGCAGCCTGGATTCCTCCCCACCAGTTCCCTCCCCCACCCCCAGGGCCCCCATCCATGCAGATCACCATCGAGGATGTGCAGGCACAGAGGGGCGGCACAGCGAAATTCCAGGCTGTCATCGAGGGTAACCCACAGCCCACAGTGACCTGGTATAAGGTAGGGATGTGTGGGGTGGGGATGTCCAGCCTTGTGCCTGGAGGAGGGGTGTATGAGATCCCCACCAGACACTCTGGGTCACTCACTGAAGGTGGGGCGGACCCCAGTACTGGGTCCCAAGGCTCATGGTCACCCCACCTCCTGTGCCTCCAGGACAACGTCCAGCTGGTGGACAGCACATGGCTCAGCCAGCAGCAGGAAGGGACAGCCTATTCTCTGGTGCTCAGGAATGTGGGCCAGCATGACGCTGGTGTTTACACCTGCCTGGCCCAAAATGCTGGTGGCCAGGTGCTGTGCAAGGCAGAGCTGCTGGTGCATGGGGGTGAGTTAGGGGACCTCTCACAGGCCCAATCCTGGCTCCACGTGGGTGTAGGGTTCTGTGGGCTCCTACAGGCCCAGGCACAGGGAACTGTCCCAGCAGACACTGCGGAGTTGGGGAACAGTGGGAGGGATGGGGACCTTTGTCCACACTGGTGGCTGACTGCTTCCTGGCTACAGGGGACAGCAACCTGGACCTAGAAAAGCAAAGCTGTCGGAGAAAACTGCACTCTTTCTACGAGGTCAAAGAAGAGATTGGGAGGTACCCCGCCAGCCTGCCCCAGGAGCCTCGCTCCCTAGCCTGCACTCCAGAGACCCCACCACCCAGATCCCCCTGCTTCCCGGGAACCCCACTTTTCTGAGGCCACCCCTCAGTACTCTGCCTACTCTCCTCCCCACCCCCGGAACTTCACTCCCCCCACCCCACCAGCCCCAGTTCCCTCAGAACCCTTGCTTCTCAGGAATCCCGCCAGCTCAGCAACTCTGTCCCAAGGGAGCTTGGGTCTTGGAAGGCCCCACCCACATCCCATGCCCTGGAGTACCCTCCCATCTTCAAGAGGTCCCACCTGAGAACCCCACCTCTAGGAAGCCCTTGTCTCCCCAGTACCCACTCCCCACAGCCTCTGCCCATCTGGAAACCTCACCTGCCAGGAGCACTGTCCCGCATCTCCCTCTGGGCATGATCTTAGGAGTCTAGCATGGAGTCCCTTCTTTCCAGGGGTGTGTTTGGCTTCGTGAAAAGAGTGCAGCACAAGGGCAACCAGATGTCCTGTGCTGCCAAGTTCATCCCCCTACGGAGCAGGACACGTACCCAGGCTTACCGGGAGAGAGACGTGCTTGCGGAGCTGAGCCACCCACTAGTCACTGCGCTGCTGGACCAGTTTGAGACTCGCAAAACTCTCATCCTTGTCCTGGAGCTGTATCCAGTCCTTAGCCCCAGGGGATGAGGCGGCCGGGAGCCCCAGAAGGGCAGGGGACCACAGAGTGGTGTGGGGGCTGTGTGTGGCTCTGCTGTCCTCAGCCCTGTACTCCTCCCGAGGCAGCCAGCTGGGCTTCCCATGCCCCTGTTAGGATGCTGTGGGACTAACCAGCCCAGACATGGCACTGTCCTCATAGCTTGCTGCCCCTTGAGCCAGGAATTTGGTCAGGCCCCTCTCATGCTCCCTGTGACCTCTGTTCAGCAGGAGGTCATACTGCTTAAATGGCAGTCCCAGGCCCCAAGCACTGGGGCTCTGACATTGTCCACCCAGGCTTCAGGGAGGGGTATACCCCTTCCCTGACCCCTCTGGATCTCACCTTATCACTTGCTGCCAGGTTGAGAGTCTCTGGGTGTCGCAGTGCTTGCCACACCCTACCTTGTGCAGAGGGGAGAGGACACCTCCACTCCAACTCTGTTGCTGGCCACTGGCCTCAGCTCCTCTCCTCAGGGTCTGGGTCCCACACACCCTCCTCAACCTGGAGGACCCACCACTCCAGCATGGACTGCACTGCTCCCCAAGATAGCACTTGCCATGGGGCATGGAGTGGGTGGGTTCCCGACCCCTGAGCTTTCCTTGACCTGAACCCCAGGTGCTCCTCAGAGGAACTGCTGGACCGCCTGTTTAAGAAGAGCGTGGTGACAGAAGCAGAGGTGGCTCTGCAGCCTGAGCTGTCTGCAACCAATAGGCTTACATGCATGCCCCCCGCTAGGGCTTGTATTCCCCCCACCCCAACTGCCCGTCCTAGCAGGCCCAGCTCAGAGAACTTTTGAAGGCCCCCAGGGCCTCACAAGGTGTCACTGCTCTTCAGTCAACTCTCAGAGCCCTACCAGCCAGGATCACAACCTACCTTTCCCAGCCTGCACCTCACCTGGCCCACCTGGCCCACCAGCCAACCCTCACCTGCTCTTGAGACATCAAGCTTCCTGCTTTGCTCAGGCTGCTTCACACACCCAAACCCTCCCCACCATCTGGCCCAGGGGAATCCCCATGCCCAGGCATGTAGGGCTGGGGAGGCGCTGACTCTACTGCCTGTGGGTTGGTCTCAGGTCTGCAGGGAGTGAGGGGTAGATGGGAGCAGAGCAGGGAGGAAGGTGGCAGAGCAGGCAGAGATAGGCTTTCTCACTTGAGCAGCAGCCTTTGCTACTGCAGGTCAAAGTCTACATCCAGCAGCTGGTGGAGGGGCTGCACTACCTGCACAGCCATGGCATCCTACACCTGGACATAAAGGTACTTGTTCCATCCACCTTGTGCCCCCAGAGCCCAGGAGCAGGCGGTGGGAGCTTGCAGGCTTTCCAGCCTGCAAGGGAACAGGCCTACCACTTCCAGCTTCAGGACTTGCTAACTTTGTTGGGGAGAGCTCACTACTTTACCAGCAGCCCCTTTAGGTGAAATGTGGCTCTGATAGAGCAGAGGCTGTCCCCAAATGGTACCCAAACCACCTGTTCCCAGGGCAGCCCCCTGTCCTCCCTCGCTGGCTTCTCCGTCTTCATGAGGCAGCCCCTTACAGACTCCCTAGTGTCACCCCCAGACTTGGCAGTCCCAGGGGTACCTCCTCACGTCGAAGCCTCACCCACTTCCTGACTGCCCCCCAACAGCCCCCCAACATCCTGATGGTGCATCCTGCTCGGGAAGACATTAAAATCTGCGACTTCGGCTTTGCCCAAAAGATCACCCAGACAGAGCCAAAGTACAGCAAGTATGGGTCCCCTGAGTTTGTGTCCCCTGAGATCATCGAGCAGAACCCTGTCAGTGAGGCTTCTGATATCTGGTGAGTGGCTGGGCCCCCAAGGACAACGCCAGCACCGCTTCCCACTCTCTGCCTTCTCTCCTCCCCTGGCTCCCACCCACCTGGTGCCCGTTACCTGTGGGCCAGGCCTGGGATGACTCACAATTGTGGTTTTGTTCCCACAGGGCTATGGGGGTCATCTCCTACCTCAGGTGAGCAGACCCCAGCACCTGCCAGCTGTCTCCTTGGAAGCCAATCCCAGACCCTCCCAGCAGGCGCACAGGAGGTCACAGGCACTGCTGGCCCTCCTCAAAGACCCGAGGCCCGAGGGGCAACTATTTTGGGAACAAGCAGTGGGCCAGCTCTGATAAGAGGTTTTGTCCAGCAATTTTCACACACATCCTGTCCCAGAGCAGCCCTTCCTGTTGTGAGGCACAGCCAGTGCTGAGCTGTTTCTCCAGGTGGTTAGGCTGGGTTTGCCCAGAGGCCCCTCAGAGCAGCTTCTGCTGCCCTGAAGGTGCTGCTGTCAGACTGAGGCTGCATCTCATCTCCAGGTGGGGCCCTGCTCCCACCTCAGGCTCAGGCCTGGTACCCACTCTGGGCTCATGCTCGATCCCCACCCCAGGCGGAGCCTAGATCTCTGGGCAAGTGTGAGATACTTACTGGGATTCTGAGGTTGCTGAGAAGCCATCCCAGCCAGAGCTCTGCCCAGCAACCCCACAGGACCCAGAAATCTGGGATCACATCTGAGTGCTGAATACTCCCTGTGCTTTCAGCCTGACCTGCTCATCCCCATTTGCCGGCGAGAGTGACCGAGCAACCCTCCTGAATGTGCTGGAGGGGCGGGTGTCCTGGGGCAGCCCAGTGGCTGCACACCTCAGCCAGGATGCTCAGGACTTCATTAGGGCTGCCCTGCAGAGAGCTCCAGAGTGAGTGTGCCCACCCTCCTCCCTGCTCCCCCCATCCACTCAGGGGGCCAGGTGACCCCTGGCCTGACCCCCAGCTTGGCACCCCCACAGAGCCCGGCCCAGTGCAGCCCAGTGTCTTGCCCACCCCTGGTTTTTGGTGAGTAGGCTGAATCCAGCAGGCCTGGTAAACAGTGGGGGGGAACTGAGGCTAAGAAGGGTGGGGCCTACCTGGCCCTAGGGTGAACCAAGGTCTCACCCAATGTGGCTTTCTCACCTGGGCCCCCAGAAATCCCTGCCTGCAGAGGAGGCCCACTTCATCAACACCAAGCAGCTCAAATTCCTCCTGGCCCGCAGCCGCTGGCAGGTGAGCTCAGATGCAGAGAGGGGGCAGGACACCAGGGGCATATGCATGAGGGGCCAAGGGGTAGGCGAGGCAAGCTAGGTCCGGGAGCTGGTGATGCCCCTCAGGTTTGGGAGAGTAGGGAAGTGGGGGCTGAGCACCCTTCTTTCAGGGTCTGTGCCCTCTGAGCTGACAGGATGGGGTAGGACTGCATATACTTCCAGCCTGGGTGGGGACACACCATAGCCCTGGGGTGCCAGGGATGAGGAGGCCCCCATCTCCTGGGCTCCCCTCGGGGGCACACCAGGAGCTGGAGGGCAGCATGCAGCTGACGCCCCACCCCTGCACCCCCAGCGCTCCCTGATGAGCTACAAGTCCATCCTGGTGATGCGTTCCATCCCGGAGCTGCTCCAGGGCCCGCCAGACAGCCCGTCTCTTGGAGTGGCCCGGCACCTGCGTGGTGATGCCAGTACCTCTTCTAGTAGCACCTCGTCCTCCGACAACGAGCTGGCACCCTTCGCCCGGGCCAAGTCTCTGCCACCCTCTCCTGTGACTCACTCCCCCCTTATGCACCCACGGGGTTTCCTGCGTCCATCTGCCAGCCTGCCAGAAGAGGCTGAGGCCTGTCTTCCCATGGAGGCAGCACCCCTGCCTGAGGCACCTGGGGGCTCAGAGTCCCCAGTTGCCCCAGGCTGTGTGCCCCGGCAAAGCATTATCCACAGCCTGTTCTACCAGCAGGCAGGCAAGAGCCTGGAGTGTGGGGCCCTGGCCAAGGGCAGCAGACGGATCCCTGTGCGGCAGAGGCACCTCCTCAAGGGTGGGTACTTTGCGGGCCCCCTGCCTGGCCTTCGAGAGCCACTGCTGGAGCACCAGGCACTGGAGGAGGAGGCCGCCCAGGAGGAGCAGGCTGCCCCGATGGCCAAGGCACCCTCCTTAGATACTTCCCTGAGGCTGCCTGGTACCAGCGCCAGCACCCCTGGAGGCCCCCACCACTGCAGCCACTCCCTGGATGTTGACCTTGCACATTCTGCCATCTCCTCTGCAGAGGCCTGCCATGAGGGCCAGTGTTTCACCCCTGCCCTCTGGGGCCACCAGGAGGCCCTGGGAGGAGAGAATGTGCCTAGAGAGGTCAAAGATGTCATGGAGAGGGGGTTTCCAAAAGGACGGGGACTATGTTCATCCACCGGTGGGGATCCTGGCTTTGCTGAGCAAGAGGGGTTGTCCCAGGACAGCTGTGGGGGGCAGCTAGCTCCTTTTAGTCACCCCCAGTGGGGTCCTTCCCCCAGGAAGGGTTGTGATGCCCCAGTGGCTGTTGCATCCCAAGCTCCTGGTGCCTTTCCTCCAGAGCACTGCTCGGAGGCTCTCTTGGCAACCCCGAGACCCCTCTTCTCTGGTGAACTCCAGGCTCCCTTCTCCCCAGCTCAAGCAAGCCTCCCGTCAGGCTCTAGGAGGGAGCTGGAAGCCACCCCTCTCCCTGGGAGGGCCAATCTTCCAAGTTCTCCAGGGCTAGCCTCCCCATCTGGCACAGAACCTGGCCTGCCCCCGGACGTCAAGGCTCTGGCCCAGGAGACAGAGGACCTATGTGAGTCTGAGCTCAGCCCTCCTTGGCCTCAGGAGCAGGCAACCTCACGCAAGTTCTCCCTTGGGCACCGTGGAGGCTACGCAGGGGTGGCCGGCTACGGCGCCTTTGCCTTTGGTGGGGATGCGGGAGGCATGCTGGGACAGGGGCCCCTGTGGTCCAGGATGGCCTGGGGTACCTCTCAGTCCTTGGAGGAACAGGATGAAACAGGGGCTCAGAGCCCACACCCCCAGGCCAGTGCGGTGTCCCTGCCAGAGGGCTGTGAAGTCCCCACAAGGGCCTTCCCAGAGCTGACCTTGTGCGAAGACTTCGGCTGGGGGTCCCAGGTGTCACTGGTACAAATCCAGGACCTGTCAGGGGACACTGAGGCAGCTGACACTGTGTCTCTGGACATATCAGAGGTGGAGCCAGCCTATCTCAACCTGTCAGACCTGTATGACATCAAGTACCTCCCCTTTGAGTTCATGATCTTCAGGAGGGTCCCCAAGCCGGACCTGCCACCCTCCCCAGCATCTGAGGCCAGGGAGGAGCTGGCTGAGTTCCCAGAGGCCCCGTTGCCCTGGCAGGGCCTCCCCACCGGCCTGGAGATCAGAGAGGAGCTGGAGGACACAGGACTGCTGCTCAGGGAGGCAGGCAGCAACAGGAAACGCAGGTGGTCACCCCCCTCCAGGGGCCTCCTGTGCTCCTCCTCGAGGCAGGCGCTGTTGAAGGAGCCAGTGGAACTGGGGCTTCACCAGAGGATGAGGGCCTCGGTGGCCCATATCTCCCGCCTCCTGAGGGGCAGGCTTCAAGGTGACTCCCCTACCCCGACCACAGGGGCTGCTGGGCTCAGCCAGGTGGGCCCCTCTGTACCTTGGGGCATTGTGTGCCCATGCCCAGGAGTCAGAGCTCAGGCACCCACCTGACATAGGAAGCCTCCTTCTGTCCTGTCCCGGTGCTGCCTACACCTCAGGCACACATGGGCTTCTGTTCCCAAGGTCACCTTCTTGGCTTCCTCTCCTCCCATGTGCATCTGAGACCTGTATGGGATCTGAGCTGCTATAGGGGTTACAACCCTGTGGACAGGATCAAACCAGGGCCAGTCTTCCTGACTGCACCCCCCTCACTGACCCTGCCTGACCCCAGACCTTGGCCACGCCTCCTGGGCACCTGCACCCCTTACCTGCCTAAAGTGGCCCCTCCAAGGATAGGCCTATGCTGACAGGCTAGGGAATGGGTAGCCTCACAGCAGATTTAGCTTGTCCCCTCCACCAAAAAAAAAATCCCCTGGGTCCAGGCTTTTTGGCCAAATGGGAATCTGGCAGTGGGTGGAGAGTAGCTCCAGAGTCCTCCTCCCAGGCTCCCAATGGTAGTGGCAGGGGGCTGGCTGCCAAAAAGAGCCAGACCCTTGATATGAGCTCCCTCCATCCCTTCTCCTTGCAGGTCCAGAGAAGGAGGGGCCCCCCAGGAAAAAGGCAGGCCTAGCTTCCTTCCGGCTGTCAGACCAGAAGAACAGAGACCAAGGTGCCTGGGGCTGGGCCCCCCATCTTCCCAGGGGGCTGGCTGTGGGGAAGGGGAGCCCCTCCACAGTGCCCCAACCAACAGGGGGCAAGCTAAAACCCACAGTGACTTAAGCCCATATTGTGGGGGGGGGGGTCAGGTCCCAGTATGGGGACTGAGCAGTCCTGAAGGCCTTTCTGAAGGAGGTGCTAGGTTGAAAATGAGCTGGATGAGGATGAGCTTCTCTCCAGTATCCCCACCTCTCTTTTCTAGCGCCATATTTCCTAAGGAAGCTAGTAGATGAGACAGTGGTCCTGGGCCAGTCTGTGACTCTTGCCTGCCAGGTGTTGGCCCAGCCATCGGCCCAGGCCACCTGGAATAAAGGTAAGGAGCTATCCTGGTGTGGGGGAGGGAGTGGGAGGAGGAGGACTGTGGGGGCTGCTCCTTGAGGTCATGGCTCTCAACATACAGAGGGAAACTGAGGCCCAGAGAGGGTGGGGCCTGGTGTTTTGAGCTGCCTCCAGGCCTACTCTGTCCTGCTGCAGACGGGGCCCCCCTGGAGAGCAGCAGCCGCCTCCTCATCTCCTCCACGCTCAAGAATTTCCACATTCTGACCATCCTGGCAGTGACTTCTGAGGACCTGGGTGTGTACACGTGCAGTGTGCGCAATGCGCTGGGCACAGCGGCCACCAGAGCTGTCCTCCGGAAGGCAGGTGGGTGGGCCTCACCAGGCCTTCTCAGTGGGGACAGAGAGGCCACTCCAGGCTATCATTGCCTCCCCGGGATTTCCAAGGGGGCAGCCAGGCCTAGCTAGCTCTTAGACCCCCCAGCCTGATCCCTAGGGGGCACCAGACCTCCTGTGGCCAACCCTAGGTGCCCCGTTCTGCCACTCAGCCAAGCTGAGACATCTCTGACCAAAACCTGGAGTGGGCAAGGGGCTGTAACGAGGGCCACTTCATGGGGCTCCGGAGCATGCACCAGATGAGGGAAGCCTGTGGTAGGGCAGGCAGACACCTGCTGGGCTCCCTCCAGGAGAGTTACTGAGTCCCTCTACCAGGCAGCGCTGGAATGGGACCCTGGAATCTATGGGACCAGGGTAGGGTGGGCTCAGGGCATGGCAGTAGGGTGCAGGGGTGTGGACAGGCGGTCAGAGCTGCAGGAGCTGCATGCCCCTGGGAGCTGACCTCAGATCTCTGACCATGGGCCCTGCAGAGTGCCCCCCATCCTCCCCACGCCCAGACATTGGGGAGGTGTACACAGATGGGGTGCTGCTGGTCTGGAAGCCTATGGAATCCTGTGGCCCTGTGACCTACATCGTGCAGTGCAGCCTGGAAGGTAGGGCTGTGCAGGTGTCCTCACTCCCTGGGGGCCCTGTAGCTAGTGGGAGGAGTATCTGGCCACTCTGTGCTTCTGGAGAACCATGGGGGAAGTGTCTGGTGCCCTCTGTACCCATGAATGCCCATCAGGGCACCCTCACTGGACTCTGGAGTGGGGAGGCCTGGGGCTTCCCCTCACCTGCTCCGTGTGGCCAGGTGGCAGCTGGAGCACACTGGCCTCGGACATCTTTGATTGCTGCTACCTGGCCAGGAATCTTTCGAAGGGTGGTGTGTACACCTTCCGGACCGCGTGCGTCAGCAAGGCTGGCATGGGCCCCTACAGCAGCCCCTCGGAGCAGGTCCTCCTTGGAGGGCCTGGCCACCTGGGTGAGCCTCTACAGGACCTGGTGGGCAGTGGGTGGGGGTCCCTTTGGAACTGTCACCAAGACACATACACTCATGGGGAAGGTTTGTTCCAGCTACTGCGCTGCCCCTCTCCATCCCCAAATGGTCCAAGGAACAAGAAGCCAAGTGTGGGTTTAAGGAGGGGGGCTGTCAAAGTGATGGGGAAGAGATGGCTGGAGACAAGGTTGGGGTACTGGGACTATGAGGAACATTCCAGTCACTGGCTTCCCTTCCCACAGCCTCTGAGCAGGACAGCGGCCCTGCATTGCTGACCCATCTGCTCCCCAGCACACAGACCTTCGCCTTCCAGACGCAGATCCGAAGGTGCTGAGGCCCCTTTGCCTCCCCTACCCCAACCTGCTCACCAGGGCCTGAGCACTTCCTTCCCCATTTGAGTTTCCTCCCTGCTGCTCTGAGAGTGGGAAGGGGCTGCCAGAGGTCATGAAGGGGCCTGAAGGCCAGAACAGGAGCTGTTCCCAGAAGCCTGACCTGTGCTTCCTCACCAGGGGCCGCTTCAGCATTGTGCGGCAGTGCCGGGAAAAGGCCAGTGGACGCCCACTGGCTGCCAAGATCATCCCCTACCGCCCAGAGGAAAAGACGACTGTGCTTCGAGAGTACGAGGCCCTCAAGGGCCTGTGTCACCCACACCTGGCCCAGTTGCAGGCTGCCTTCCTCAGCCCGCGGCACCTGGTCCTCATGTTGGAGCTGTGCTCTGGGCCAGAGCTACTCCCCTGCCTGGCCCAGCGGTGAGGGGCCATCTGGCTGGGGGGCAGGGCTTGGGGAGGGGGATGGCACTGAGGCCCAAGTCCTGCCTGCTTCCATGGACTGGGTCCTGTGCAGGAGGGGGCTTGGCCAAAACTGCTCAGAGCCAAGCCCCTCCCCATGTGCCCCCAGGGCCTCCTACTCAGAATCTGAGGTGAAGGACTACCTGTGGCAGATGCTGAGTGCTACCCAGTACCTGCATGCACAGTGCATCCTGCATCTGGACCTCAGGTCTGAGAACATGATTGTCACGGAATACAACCTGCTCAAGGTGGTCGACTTGGGCAATGCTCAGAGCCTCACCCAGGAGACGGTCTTGCCCTCAGAGAGGTTCAAAGACTATGTGGAGACCATGGGTGCGTGGGTTGAGGGGTGGCTGGGAGTGAGCCCCTCCTCCAGTTCTGCCTCCTGCCAGTGTCTGCACTGCAGACACTCAGCTCCTCACCTTGTGCTCCCCCTTCTGTGCAGCTCCGGAGCTCCTGGAGGGCCAGGGTGCTGGTCCACAGACTGACATTTGGGCCATCGGTGTGACTGCATTCATCATGTGAGTCCTCCAGGCACGTGGGGGCGGATATGGAGTCCATGAGGATGACCTCAGATCCCCATGTGACCTGAGTCACCTATGCCTCACCTGTGCAGGCTGAGTGCCGAGTACCCAGTGAGCAGAGAGGGCATGCGGGACATGCAGAAAGACCTGCGGAGAGGGCTCATATTGCTGAGTCGCTGCTACGCCGGGCTGTCTGGGGGCGCCTTGGCCTTCCTGCAGAGTACGCTGTGTGCACACCCCTGGTAAGGTGGTACTGTCTCCTACCCCCCTGCTCACCCTGCTGTGCCCTGCACCAGCCAGAGTAGGCTGACCTGCCTCCCTGTCACCACCCTCCTTGCTGCAGGGGCCGGCCAAGTGCTTCCAGCTGCCTGCAGTGCCCATGGCTGACTGAGGAGGGCCCAGCCTGCTCTCAGCCTTCCACTGTGACCTTTCCCACTGGGCATCTGCGCGCCTTTGTGCGTGAGCGTGAGAAGAGACGGGCACTGCTGTACAAGAAGCACAACCTGGCGCAGGTGTACTGAGCACTTGGCCCTGCAGGATCACAAAACCAGTGGCCACATGCACACAGGGCACTGTGGGCCTGGCCCCTACAAGCTGTATCCACCAATAAAAACCAGCACCACAGGAGGCATCTTCTGTTTCACTGTTTTGTTTCGAGGAGGAGGGTGATGGTCCTGCGCCTTCCTGGTTTAGTGACCATCCAGTTAGCAGAGCTGCCCTTCCTTGTTCTTGGACGGAAAGATCCTTCAGGGCAGTCTCACCATGAGTGACCAGCTCACAAACAAAAGCCCTTTTTGTCCCATGAAAACTGGCACAATTGGTTCCTTAGCCTTACCCCACCTGCCAGTCTCTGAGGGATTTCCACTGGGACTCCTGAGCTCCAGGGGCTAGACTGTGCCCATGGTCACCTTCCTGGACTGGTCCTCTATCAAGGCCTCCAGCATAGGCTACTGCAGCCCTTTCTCTGTCTGAGGCAGAAGGAGCCTGGTGAATGACTAGCCAGGCCACACAGAGGGAATTGAGAGGTGGGCTTGGAGTGGGAGAAGGTGTCATAGAAGCTGCTGCAGGAGCTTGAACCACAGTTGCTTTCCCCCAACCTGACTTCTGCCAGATGTTCCTGCTGCCCACAAGGAAAGTCCTGTTTGGGAAGGGTGTGTGGTCCTGAGGCTGAATGAACATGGACTGCCTTGCTCCATGTCCACCAGCTCCAACTCTACTTGTGTGAGGAATGGTCTCACCAGTTACCAGTGCTCCCTTTGGGGGCAGTCCACCATGTCCAGGGACTGAGCTTTTTGCTGAGGTGTCCTCCCACAAGGCACCTTCCTGGACCTCGACCACACCTGTACAGACAGCCAGTGAGCATACCTCCAACCCTCATGGTGCCCTAGGCACCTGAGTCTGCACCCATGCTTTCCTCTCTATTGCATGCTCACTCGGCCCCAGCTCGCCAAGCCTGGCTCTGCACGCTGGGACCAGGTGAGACTTAGCTCCTTGTCTTCAGTGGATGCATTCCTTTGGTGACACCTCCTCTGTGCTGTGTGCTAGGATGACTTGCCTCTGTCTAAGCCTGTACAGATCAAATTCTGTAGGCTGAGCAAATCTCCTACTCTTACATGGAGAGATACTTGCTGGGGCTGTACAGAGTCTCTGCTGGCCTGGCCTTGCTCCCTGTAGCCCAGCTTTCCTTGTACATTCTGCCTTGATACTCTGTGCAAGTGCTTCTTGTAGAACGGCTAGTGACTCCTCACAGCCTGGCTTAGGACTCACCCTGCTAACACCATGTAGCATGGGCCATGCCACATCATCATTCATTCCTTCCATGGCCCTTGTCCCTTCTCATTCAAGATGGCTCTCTTCCCAGACTGGACTTTGCCTGATAAACCCACTCAAATCCAAACTCCCTCCGTTTATGTGTTGTAAGTATTTTATTGGTAGTCTGTTCCTAACAATAAAATCAAATGTACTGCATTTTTAACAGCTGCATATTTTATATTTTTTTCAATACATAAAGCTTTTATTTTGAGATCTTAGTTGAATCACAGGCAGTTGAAAGAAATCATACAGAAAGAGCCCAGGTACCACTTACCCAGTTTCTCCAGTGGGAATTATTTTGCAAAATGCTAGTATTGATACAATAGGACAGCCAGGATAGGGACATTGAGACAGTAAAGGTACAGAGCATCATGACACAGGTTCCTCCCTGATCTCATACCCTCTTTTTAAACAGCCACACCCACTCCCCTCTCACCTTTAATTGATACTCCTTAACCCTGGCAACCAACAGTCTGTCTTGAATTCATATACTTTTGCCATTTTAAAAGTGTTATAGCTCCTCCACTATGCGAGTGAGCCATCTCATTGGCCTCCCACTCCCCAGCTCCCACAGAAGGAGGGTCACCTGCGCCACTCCACTTCTTAGTTTCTTGCAGCTCCCAGCTCTGGCTCCCAGGTCAGTGCCTGCCCAGGTGATTCTGTGCTGTGATTGTCTCAAAGCCACAGGGAAAAGGGTGGAAAATGCACTGTTGCCATTACCAGAGTGATTTATGGCTTTGTTCTTAAGCTCTCAATTGCCTCCATACTCGTGTGGACTTTTATTCCTGAATAAAAGCCTTAAGCTTAACCAATTGGTTAAGCCTTAAGCTTAACCAATTGGCATCAAAAGTATTGGGCAGATGCATTGCCCATCTACCTCCTCATTACTATAGAAATCAGGTATGCACTCTTATTTGGAATAAAGGTGCTGAATACCTCACCACTCAGCTATGTTCTTACAATCACAGGTAACTATGCTGAAAACCAAAAGTAGAATAAATACCAAGAAGAGGTCATCCCAGCATTGAGATATTCCTATTAGGGAAGTGAATCAAATGTTCTTTTTAAGTCAAAAATTTTACACCAAAAATGAATTGTGGACTTTCAGCCAAGATGGAGGTGTAGGTAGATATACTCTGCCTCCTCACACAACCAAAAGAAGGACAACGACCAATTTAAAAACAAAAAATAACCAGAGCTGCCAGAAAAATCAAACTGTATGAAAGTCCAACAACCAAGGAGTTAAAGGAGAAACATTCATCAGATCAGTAGAATGGATGGAGTTGGGCAGCTGGGGTGGAGAGGACTCAAGGCAAGGCAGCTGGAGGACCTAGGCAGGTGAGGCAGCAGCTGATGGAGCAGGAGGTCCCACATTTGTATACAGAAGAACTGGGAGGAACAACTGGGGAATGAGACAGATCTCGAAACCCAGGGTTCCAGCAAGGGGAAGTAAAGCCTCAAAACCTCTGACTGAAAAAAACCTGTGGGGTTGAGTTCATTGGAAAGACCCACAAGGTCCTAGAACATACACAAAACCCCAGACCCAGGAATCAGCACCAGAAAGGCCCAATTTCCTTGTGGGTAGTGGGGGAAGTGACTGAAAGCTGGCTGAGAGCTGAGCAAGGAACACTGTTCCTTCTCAGACCCCTCCCCCACATACAGCACCACAATGCAGTGACACACTGGCAAATATCAAGCCTCTGCCCCTTACCACCTAACAGGTGTGCTGAGACAAAAATAAAAAATAAAAAAAAATAGGGCCCAAATGAAAGAACAGATCAAAGCTCTAGAAAAAATACAACTAAGTGATGAAGAGATAGCCAACCTATCAGATGCAGAGTTGAAAACACTGGCAATCAAGATGCTCACAGAAATGGTTGAGTATAATTGCAAAATAGAGGAAAGAGTGAAGACTATGAAAAGTGAAATAAAAGAAAATGTACAGGGAACCAACAGAGAAGGAAAGAAAACCAGGACTCAGACCAACAGTTTGAAGCAGAAGGAAGAAAATAACATTCAAGGCCCTGGCTGGTGTAGCTCAGTGGATTGAGCACAGGCCTGTGAACCTGAAAATCGTGGTTCGATTCCCAGTCAGGGCACATGCCTGGGTTGCAGGCCGATTCCCAGCAGGGGACCCAGGAGATGCAACCATACATTGATATTCTCTCCCTCTCTCCTTCCCTTCCCCTCTAAAGATAAATAAATAAAATCTTTAAATAAATAAATAAAATAATATTACATTGGAAACATTTAAAAAAAAAAAAGAAAATAACATTCAAGCAGAACAGAATGAAGAAACAAGAATTCAAAAAATGAGGAGACTCTTAGGAACCTTGAGGACAACTTTAAACATTACAACATCTGAATCATGGGGTGCCAGAAGGAGAAGAGGAAGAGCAAGAAATAGAAAGAAAATTTATTTGAAAACATAATGAAGGAGAACTTCCCCAATCTGGCAAAGGAAATAGACTTCCAGGAAGTCCAAGAAGCTCAGGGTCCCAAAGAAGTTGGACCCAAGGAAACACACAACAAAGCATATAATTACATTACTCAAAAGTAAAGATAAGGAGAGAATCTTATAAGCAGCAAGAGAAAAGGAGACAGTTACCTACAAAGGAGTTCCCATAATACTATCAACAGATTTCTCAAAAGAAACCTTGCAGGCACGAAGGGGCTGGAAAGAAGTATTCAAAATCATGAAAGGCGAGGACCTACATCCATCATTACTGTATCATTTAGAATGGAAGGGCAGATAAAGTGCTCCCCAGATAGTCAAGTTAAGGGAGTTCATCATTACCAAGCTCTCACTACATGAAATGTTAAAGGGACTTATCTAAGAAAAAGGTCAAAAATATAAATAGTAAAATGACAACAAACTCACAACTATCAACAACGAAGCCTAAGAAAACAAAAACAACCAACTAGAACAGGAACAGAATCAGAGAAATGAACATCACATGGAGGGTTATCAGTGGGGAAAGGGAGGGGGAAGATAGTGGAAAAGGTACATGAAATAAGAAGCATAAATGGTAAGTACAAAATAGACAGGGGCGGGTTAAGAATAGTAGAGGAAATGGAGAAGCCAAAGAACCTATATGTATGATCTACGGACATGAACTAAGGTGAGGGATTAATGGTGGGGGAATGGGTGGGAGGATGGGTACAGGGCAGAGGGGAATAAAGGGAAAAAATGGGACAACTAGTATAGCATAATCAATAAAATATATTAAAAATTTTAAAAATGTTCCAATGATGGCATCGGGTCATGCCAGAGGTATTCCAGCTTATATGAAGGCCTCAGCAGAGGATCCCTGAAAGTAAGTGACCACATTCACTTAACTTTTATTACAGTTTTTATTATAACTGCTTGACTTTATTGTTAGTTGTTAATCTTAATGTGTCTAATATATAAACTTTATCATATGTATATATGTCTAGGAAAATGATTATTTGCAGGGTTCTACACTATTAGTAGTTTCAGGCCTCCAGTGGGGATCTTGAAATGTAATCCCTGCAGATAAGGGGGACAGTGAACTGAGAAGTGTCCTCTCCGACTTTCTGGAAGAGATTGTGTAAAACTAGTGTTAGTTCACCTTCAAATTTCCAGGCCTCTGGGCCTGGAAATTCCTTATTCAAGGGCTTTTAAATTGTGAAGTCAATTTACTTGTTACAGGGCTGTTCATATCATCAATTTCATCTTGGTTGGCTTTGGTAGTCTCTGGTTTTCTTAGGAATTGGTCCATTTTTTCCAAGGTGTCAAATTTATGTGTAAAGTTGTTTGTATTCACTTACCATCCTTTTACTGCCTATAGGATTT